CCATCGGGGTTGGGTTTTCGTCGCTTGGCAACGACGTTGTAAAACAAGCCGACTCACTTCGTGAACTCGGCAATCAGGTTGCCGTTTTTTTTTTACCTCTGTTTTTTTTGTTGGCGGTATGGTGGTCGAGTAGATCATGTTGTGCGGGGTGGAGAACCCTCACTCCGCGCAAGGGGGATGATCGCACCACGTTGTGTTAAAATGGTCAAGCACCCTCGAGGCAGTTACACAGTGCTTACAACTGTCTCTGGAAGTGAAAGCACCAGAAAATAAATTAAGTCATACGCAGCTGTCATCCGTACGCAAGGAAGTAAGCACAAGATGCCGAACACCCTTAGCAGGATGCAGCGCACCCTTCATGCGACTCGCCGAATATCTCACGGCGCTTCGCGCTTGGTGATGTGAGAGCCTGGTCCGGTGAGAACCCGGCGTGCTCCGTCCCGGCTTTGTAGGGATGCGAGGTCAATGGTGTAACGACTACGGCATGCACGACTATGAGTACCCCCCCCCCCCCTGGTGTCCGCCCGTGCTCTAGACGTAAGTGGGTTGGCGCTGTTGGCAAAGCGCTGTAAAACACGCCACCCCAAATATAGCCCCCATAGTATGCGCTTCCAAAGACGCGTGCCGCACATGGACGAGTGGAGTGAGGATAGCTGGTAGTCCTCACAGGTTGAGTAATGTTTGAGATTGCCAGACACATAGACGTGTTGAGTGAAAATAGCTGCATACGAAAGCTCGCAGATGGATTGGTTCTTCAGTTGCCAGACACAAAGTATTCCAAACAAGGTTATATCTCTCTTTTAATCAGGATAGATACCTCTCACCTGAGCAAAGATCATAAGCAATGTCTGTGGAGATCGATCATGTAGACAATCAAGCAGGAGTGGTGCGACTTCAAGCGGTGACTGGCGACATCCAACAGCAGTCACAAGGTTCCTCACAAGGTCCATAATCAGCGTATCAGGCTCAGCATTCACAAGGGTTGGCAGTTGGTCAGGCACAAAGGCAAGGATATAGCTCAGTTTCTCTCGCGCGATCGGCGGTGGTAACTAACCACCTGGGTGTTGGCCGAGGTCAGGGAGACATGCCCTGAACCCCCCCAACAGGCTGGACCGGGGAACATTGTAGTCTGTTCGGATCCCCGGTCATGACAGCCCGCGCCCTCCGGATACTTCGCGACCATAGCGAAGTATCCATCATCGTATCAAGAACCGGTTGGGACGTCCGGCCGGAACAATAGACGCGCTGAGTGGGGATAGCTACATTCTGAAACCTTACGAGTTGAGTGATGCTGGATAGTGCCAGACACATAGACGCTTTGAGTCAGGAAAGACACATACTGAGACCTCACGGGTTGAGTGACGTTTGCGATTGCCGGACACATAGACGCGCTGAGTAAGGAAAGCTGCATACTGAAACCTCACAGGTTGATTTGTGTTGGAGATTGCCGGACACACAGACGCGTTGAGTGAGGATAGCTGTATACTGAAAATCCACAGTAGCTATAGTCAGGGGACAATTCGAGAATGCAGTACACATAGACCCGACCCCCAACCCGTACCCGAACCCCCCCTTAAAGATGGAGGCCATGCCCCCCCCCCCCACTCTACCCCCCCCAGAGGATGAGGAGGGTACAGTCCAAAGTAAGCACAAGCTTACCGAAGGTTAATGCCTATTGGTACGGCATGAAATAAATACTGAACTCCCCCATTGGGCGGTGGAGGACTTAGAGCTAAGGCACCCAAGACTCTCCGGCGTGAGATCCAAAATGGATCGGACGGTGGAGGGGGGGAGGGAGGGGTGTTCGTTGCTTGAAGTGGATCAATAAAACATAGAGCCATCAAAGCAAAGATTATCACTCACGTCGAGCAAGCTGAACGACCGGACCAACCACGCAAAAACTGCGGAACTAGATGTGTGGCACGCACAATGCATTGTTTTCGATTGGAGAGAGNATGCAAGTCGTCCCTGAACTTATTGTGGTGAAAATGACCTCCCAGGAGGAAAGTAGCCTGTACCGCGGGACTTCGGAGATGATAAATTGGGTGGTTGGGGGACCTGGGTGTTACTAAGCAGAGCGCCCGGCACAAGACTGGGGTACTTGTGCCAGGA